GGGCATGTGACGGCAGTTTGCCCAAGGCCTCTCCCGCCACGCTGTGACTGTTCACACACCGATGTCCCAGCTTGGCATTCTCTGCCAGATCCCGGCCACCCTCGAGAGCTCACACATCAGAGCTCAAATTCTGTGACGGTGGCGCCAAGTCCAAGGGCACCCAGCGTGAGCCACTGCCATGGCTTGCTGCCGCAGACCCCCGGGATCCGGGAAGCCCACGCCCTCGCCGCCCTGCGCGGGGGACGACCCGAGCTCCTGTGCCGGCGCCCGCCTGCCAGCGTTCCTGGTTGGTCCCGACATGTGGCTTTTCTACCCTTGTTTTGTTTTTATTTTATGTTTATGTTTCTTTTATTTTATCTATTTTATTTTTTTCTTATTTTTTTTCGAGAGCAGTCTCACTCTGTTCCCGGCGTAGAGTGGAGTGCCGTGGTCTGTCCGCCTAGCTCCAGCACACCTCCATCTCCTGGCTCCAAGCCTCTCCTGGCCTTCAGCCTCCCGAGTCAGCTGGGACTACAGGCATGCACACCAACGCCCGCGCTAAATTTTTTCTGTATACTCTTAGTTGGCCAACTCTCAGAGTTCTGTCTTTCTATTCCGTTTAGTGGAGACGGGGGTCTCGCTCTCTGACTCAGGGTGGTTTCGCCCTCCTGCCCGGTCAAGCAATCCTGCCGCCTCGGCCTCGCCCAGAGTGCTCCGAGTTGCAGAGTGAGCCACCACGCCCAGCCATTTTACCCTTTAAACTCGTGTTGTTTGGCGACCAGGCCTGCGGTAAGTGGAATGGATGGATGGATGGATGGATGGATGCGATGCCTACGATAAGTGGCATGGCTGAATAGATAAGTTGGATGGATGGATGATTTGTGTAATACGATGGACTAGGTGGATGGGTGGAGGGCAAGGGGCATGGATGGATGGAAGAATACTGGATGGATTTGGGTGGTGGAGTAAGTAATGGATGGATAGTTGATGGATGGACTGGGAAGGTACGTGGGATGGATGGCTGGTGCATAGTAAGTGGATGGATGAAATAGATAAGTGGATGATGGACATGCGATAAGCGTGGATAGATGGTGGATGGATGGATAAGCGTGGAATGGATGATGGATGGGCGACGTGGACTGGATGGATGATGGATTAAAGGTGGATGAATGATGAAGATACACGTGGATACGAATGGATTGGATGATGGATAAGTGGATGGATGGATGAGTGCGATGAATAGCTGGCTGGATGAATACAAGTGAATGGAGGAGCAGGGAGTGAGTGGATGGATAGAGTGTACTGTATCGGTATGTATGTATGTATCTGTGGACATGGTTGAGTGGTTGCGGTAGATGAGTGGCATGGATAAGTGTATGTATGTATGGTATGTATGTATCGTGTGGATGGTTGAGCTGGTTGGGTAGATGGCAGTGCGCATGGATACCGCAGTGGATGGATGTATGGACATGTATGACCCAGTGGCTAGATAGGATTGGTAAGTGGATGAATACAACTGGTGGACAAGTAGGATGGAATGAATAAGTGAAATGCAATGGCAGGGAATGAGTAGATGGTAGATGGATGGCTAGTGTATAGTATAGAATTAAATAGTAAATCTATGGACTGGCTTGAGTGGTTGGGTGAATGGATGGCATGGGTGAGTGGCTGGGTGGGAGGGATGGATGGATAGTTGAGTGGATGAATAACAAGATGGGAACTGGATAAAGGGTGGAAGTGGTGGCATGGATGGCTAATGGCAAATGCAATAGATGGATGAGAACAAAGAGTGACATGGAATGGATAAGTGATGGATGAGGATACGTGGATGGATGGATGGGATAACGAACGTATACTGTAATAGATCAAATGTCATGATAATACTAATGGATGGATTGAGTGCTTGGGTGGAGGAGGAGATGGATGGTGAGTGGCTGGTGGTGGATGGATGGAAGACAGGAGATACTAGTGGGTGAACAAGGGGAAGATCCTGGACATGCTAGGCCAAGGTTTCCTCTTGGGCAGCGGCTTGAGGTGGGGGTCCTGAGTCCAGTGAGCGGGGAGCTGACGCTGGCGCTGTGAGCCTGGAAGGAACACTGACTCCACACCTGTACTCTAGCTCACAGGCGCAAGGAACCACAGGCGTGGCCTGTAGAATCACCCTAGTCCACGATGAACAGTCCCACAGTGAAGCATGTAGCCACGCTGGGCTTGGCACAGCCAGTCTAGAGAGAGGAAAACCTTAATTAGTGGCTGCAACAGGGAGAGAGCAGCTCACCAGGGGCCCCTCGGACGCCCGGCCCTCCATCGCTCCTGTTTGTGCCTCGGGAGGACCACCTAGGGCCAGGACCGCAGGCTCGGCTCCTCCTACCAAGCCTCGCGGTCTGCGGGTGGCCGGGAGCACATGAGGCAGGGCTCCTGTCCTCGGCACGCCTGATACCCCGCACCACACGGAGCCTCCCTCTACAGCGAGAGAATGACGAGTGAACCCCAAACGTGCAGAAGCGGCAGAGTCGGTCTGCTCAGCTCCCGCGGGTGAAGCCAGCGTCCACGTTACGAATCCGTTGATATGACAGCACCCCACGGGGGAACTCAAGAACCATCCTTTGTTCCCACATTCCGCAACGAGCTGGAGGTTTGGACCATCATTGAAATCACCACCAACTCAACGCCAGCCTGTTCGGGCTCGTTCAGTGCCGCACTCACAGAGCTCCGCAGGCCACGCCACCCTGACAGTAGCTGTCACCACCCAGCGATCCACTCAGTGAGCGGCGAGAGTCCCGACGCCAGGCAGAGGATAAGTGATTTGCCTGAGGGCTCACAGCCTGGGGGGCAGGGCTCCAACGCTGGGGAGGGGCTGGGGCTCGACCACCCTGGGGAGGGGTGGGGTCCACCTGGAGCGACAGGGGGGTGGGGCTCCACCCTGGGAGAGGGGTGGGGCTCAACCTGGGAAGGGGGGGGGCTCCCTGGGGAGGGGTGGGGCTCACACCTGGGGAGGGGTGGGGCTCACACCTGGGGAGGGGGGTGGGGCTCAACCTGGTGATAGGTAGCAGCTCACATGTGGGGGTGGATTTCACACCTGGGGAGCAGGGGGGTTCACCACCTGGGGGGGGAGTGGGATCACACTTGGGGAGGGGGACAGGGGTTGACCCCGCGCGTCCACTCGTGGGAGGGGCGGCAGGTTCACACACCTAGGGAGGCGGGGGTGGCACTCACACCTGGGAGGGGCACACTGGTTTGATCCCAAAGTCTGGCTTCTGTCTGTGCACGCCCGCTGGGCGTGCAGAACCCGTCCTCACTGCTGTGAGGGGCCGAGCCCGGGCACTGACCTGACATCCCTGAACACGGGTGGGGGGACGTGGACACCCGCAAGCTTTTCCACCGGTGCCCTGGCCCCCATCCCCGCAGCGGGCGGTCCGGAGCGGCAGGGAGGCAGGTGGACTGACAGCCCGTCCGGCCGAAGCCTCCACCCTGCTCACGCGTCTCTCTTCTGGGCGCGCCCGTGAGGGGGGCCACCGAGCGGCTCTGGACGAGGCGCTTCCGCTGTCAGACGGGGCGGGGGTGGGAGGACACTGGCTGCCGTGCATCATTTCAAGAGCGGGAGGACCGGGGAGCGTGAGTGGCCTGCGTGAGACAGCGCCTGCCAACCTGCAGCGGCTGCCAGGCAGGAGGCCGGGGCAGTGAGACCTTGCCCCGACTGAGGTCTCCCCCAGGGGGAACCCGGGCGCAGACCCCCTCTCCCGGGAATCGGCGGGATCGCGTTACGCAAGCGCAAATTTCAGCACTGGCCACAGGGACCGCTGAGTTAGACACCCTGGGGGTGCGCGCCGTGACTAGCGCTTTCACCCGAGCGTTCTAGAAGGTTTCCAAGGCCAAAGAGCTTTGCGAGGCCTCCTTGTGCAGCCTAGGACGACCGACAGGCGCAGCCGCGCGCGTCTGCGCAGGGCCGCCTCACCGATTCCGGAAAAGACCACGGCGGGCAAGATTCCGGAAAAGATCACGGCGGGCAAGATTCCGGAAAAGACCACGGCGGGCAAGATTCCGGAAAAGACCACGGCGGGCAAGATTCCAGAAAAGACCACGGCGGGCAAGATTCCGGAAAATGCCGCCTCGGCCGTGGATGTCCCAGGTGGTGCTAGGACGAGCTCGGAAAGTTTGTCGTCTGCCTGGACTTCACGCCACTCTGCGTTTTCATGGCTCTGTCTCGTGGCCCCTGAGTGGGTCCCCTCAGTGACCTCGTCTCGCCCCGCTCAACCCAGGCTGGCAAAGGCTTGTCCCAGGAGGACCTGTCCCCACCGCCTCGAGGGAGACAGCACAGCGGGGTCCCAAACCAGTCACGGGGCTCTGCAGGGCCTGGGCTGCAGCAGCGGTGCTGGGTGTGGGTGCTGGGCTCCCCCCAACACACGCTCACCCTGATACCCACCAGCCTGCGCCTGGCTCCCCTGCCACACCCTGCAAACTTTCCAACCCACACACACCCCCATCTGCATGCTCCCCCCAACACCCCACCAGCCTGCGCCTGGCTCCCCTGCCACACCCTGCAAACGTTCCAACCCACACACACCCCCATCTGCATGCTCCCCCCAACACCCCACCAGCCTGCGCCTGGCTCCCCTGCCACACCCTGCAAACGTTCCAACCCACACGCATCCTCCCTGCAGGACGTGAGCTGAGCCCAGCCCCTCTGGGTGCGTTCCTTCTCACGTTTCAGCTCCCAGAGAGGGGTGTCCCTGGGGCACAGCCGGCCCGGGACTCTCCTTCAGAGCCCACCGTCCCTGCGACTGCTTCGTTTGCGTGTACTGTGTCGCCTTTGTCCGCTCTGGACCCTGAGGGCTGTGAGGACGGGGCCCGGTAAACACCTGCTACCCTGTGTGTCGTGCATTTGCAGGCCAGCCCCACGGGCCACCCGGTAGTGGGGCTGAGTGGCCTCCCCGGCCGTCCCCAGGCCCCGCCTGCCCCGCCCCTGCAGAGCCCGGGGCCCCGGACGCGACGGGCAGGGCGCTCCCCGGGCGCAGGCTCACCTGGCTTGGAGCCCTCGTCCACGGAGCCGTTGTAGACCTGGTTGAGGAACTCGGGCCGGTTGTCGTTCATGTCGATGACGTAGATGTACAGGTCGATGGGGTTCTCCACCTTGTTCCCGTTCATGTCCACCGCGTGGGCACGCAGCTGCGGGCGGCACAGCCAGTCAGGGCCCAGCGCCCCCCTGGGGACACCCCTGCCTCGCCCCCCGGACCTCCGGGGCCTGCTGGGAGGGTCCCTGTGCCACGGACCGCTCCGTCAAGCGTCCGGATTTGATGGGGCAGACGCCGCTGGAGACGGGAGCTCAGGACCTCCCCCAGCAGCCGCAGGAAGGCCGTCTGTGCGCGGGGGCGGGGTGGGGGGCAGAGGGGCTCAAACTGCTGCTACGGAGAGGTCGACCCCAGGGGAGACCCGGGAGGAGACCCGGGGGGCGGGGAGAAGCAGGAGCCTGGGCTGGGAGCAGGGCTCTCCTGGGTGAGTTGCAGGCCGCGTGCCCTGCCACGTTAGCTCCTGGGCTGGCCCACGGGGCATGGGTGGTCAGGGAGGGACGGCCCGGGGGGGGGGAGGTGGGCCAAGAAGCCCCTCCTGCCCCTGCCCCTGCCCGGGGAGGGGCTGCAGGGGTTTTAGAGGCAGCTGTCTTCAAGGGAAAAAGGAAGGTTGGTTCCCTGAACTTGTCCGGAAGGCTCCAGAGGGGCTGCCCAGACTCACCCCTGCATTTGGGGTTTGTTCTTTCACCGGCACTCACTGGTTCACTCACTGAACGCAGTGCCCGGCCCTGGCCGGACCCTAGACCCCTGTCCACCCAGAGGACGGCGGACACCAAGGAGGAGAAGTGACTCAGCAGTGGGGTGTGGTGGCTGCAGCCGCCGGTGGGGAGGGGGGCGGTGTCAGCAGAGACCCCGAGAACAGGACAGGGAAGAGGACACGCAGCGGTGGCCCCGCCGGCAGGAGAGGGGGCTGGTGTGGGGCTGCCGGGGCCTGGGGGTGTCAGGGCGGAGGACCGACACTTGGGGCATGGACGGAGTTTGCCCAAGGCCTCTCCCCGCCAACGCTGTGACTGTCACACCACCATGTCCCCAGCTTGCATCTCTGCCAGATACGCGCCACCCTCGAAGCTGCACACATCAGAGCTCAAATCTCTGTGCACGGTGGCGCCAAGTCAAGGGCACCCAGCAGGAGCCCCTGCCATGGCTGCTGCCCAGACCCCCGGGATCCGGGAGCCACGCCCTCCCGGCCTGCGCGGGGGAGACCCGGAGCTCCCTGTGCCGGCGCCGACGCCAGCGTTCTGTTGGTCCCGACATGTGGCTTTTACCCTTTTTTGTTTTATTTTATTTTATTTTATTTTATTTTATTTTATTTTATTTTATTTTATTTTTTTGAGACAGTCTCACTCTGTTGCCCAGGCTAGAGTGAGTGCCGTGGTGTCAGCCTAGCTCACAGCAACCTCAATCTCCTGGGCTCAAGCCATCCTCCTGCCTCAGCCTCCCGAGTAGCTGGGACTACAGGCATGCACCACCAGGCCCGGCTAATTTTTTCTGTATATATTAGTTGGCCAATTAATTTGTTTCTATTTTTAGTGGAGACGGGGTCTCGCTCTTGCTCAGGGTGGTTTCGAACTCCTGACCTCAAGCAATCTGCCCGCCTCGGCCTCCCAGAGTGCTCGAGTTGCAGGAGTGAGCCACCACGCCCAGCCCATTTTACCCTTTAAACTGTGTGTTTAGGGACAGGCCTGAGGTAAGTGGATGGATGGATGGATGGATGGATGGATGGATGCATAAGTAAGTGGATGGATGAATAGATAAGTGGATGGATGGATGGATTAGTGAATAGATGGATAAGTGGATGGGTGGATGGGCAAGGGGATGGATGGATGGAAGAATAAATGGATGGATTTGGGTGGATGGATAAGTGAATGGATGGATAAGTTGATGGATGGATGGATGGATAGGTAAGTGGATGGATGGATGGATGCATAAGTAAGTGGATGGATGAATAGATAAGTGGATGGATGGACATGGATAAGTGGATAGATGGATGGATGGATGGATAAGTGGATGGATGGATGGATGGACAAGTGGATGGATGGATGGATGGATAAGTGGATGAATAGATGAATGGATAAGTGGATAGAATGGATGGATGGATGGATAAGTGGATGGATGGATGAGTGGATGAATAGATGGATGGATGAATAAGTGAATGGAGGGAGGGATGAGTGGATGGATAAGTGTATGTATGTATGTATGTATGTATCTGTGGATGGTTGAGTGGTTGGGTAGATGGATGGATGGATAAGTGTATGTATGTATGTATGTATGTATCTGTGGATGGTTGAGTGGTTGGGTAGATGGATGGATGGATAAGTGGATGGATGTATGGATGTATGACAAGTGGATGGATGGATGGATAAGTGGATGAATAGATGGATGGACAAGTGGATGGATGAATAAGTGAATGCATGGAGGGATGAGTAGATGGATAGATGGATGGATAAGTGTATGTATGTATGTATCTATGGATGGTTGAGTGGTTGGGTGAATGGATGGATGGATGAGTGGCTGGGTGGAGGGATGGATGGATAGTTGAGTGGATGAATAGATGGATGGATAAGTGGATGGATGGATGGATGGATAAGTGGATGAATAGATGGATGGACAAGTGGATGGATGGATAAGTGAATGGATGGAGGGATACGTGGATGGATGGATGGATAAGTATATGTATGTATGTATGTATCTATGGATGGTTGAGTGGTTGGGTGGAGGGATGGATGGTTGAGTGGCTGGGTGGATGGATGGATGGACAGACAGGAGATCAAGTGGGTGGACAAGGGGAAGAGTCTGGACATGTAGGCCAAGGTTTCTCTTGGCAGCGGCTGAGGTGGGAGGTCTGAGTCCAGTGAGCCGGGGAGCTGACGCTGGTCGCTGTGAGCCTGACTGACTCCACACCTGTCTCTGCTCACGGGCAGAAACCACAGGCCGTGGACGTGTAGAATCCCCTAGTCCACGTGAACAGTCCCCGTGAAGCTGTAGCCACGTGGGGCTTGGACAGCCAGTCTGAGAGAGGAAAACCTTTGTGGCTGCAAAGGGACGAGGCAGCTCCCCAGGGGCCCCTCGGCCCGGCCTCCTGCTCCTGTGTGCCTCGGGAGGCACCTGGGCCAGCGGCAGGCTCGGCCTCCTCCTACCAACGCCCTCCGGTCTGCGGGTGGCCAGGGAGCACCTGAGGCCAGGCTCTGTCCTCGGGCACGCCTGATGACCCCCACCACACGGAGCCTCCCTCTAGCGAGAGGAGATGGACACAGTGAACCCCAAACGTGAGAAGCGGCAGAGTCGGTCTGCTCAGCTCCGCGGGTGAAGCCAGGTCACGTTAGATCCGTTGATATGACAGCACCAGGGCGGAAAACTAAGAACCCATCTTTGTTCCCACATTACCAGCAAAGAGCTGGAGGTTGAGACATCATGACAATCACCACCAACTCACACGGCCCCAGCCGTGTCGGGCTCCGTTCCAGTGCCGCACTCACGAGCTCGCAGGGCCAGCCACCTGACAAGGTAGCTGTCACCACCCAGGATCCACTCAGTGAGCGGGAGAGTCCCACGCCAGGAGAGGATAAGTGATTTGCCTGAGGGCTCACACCTGGGGGGCAGGGCTCACACCTGGGGAAGGGGTGGGGCTCACACCTGGGGAGGGGGTGGGGCTCACACCTGGGGAGGGGGGTGGGGCTCACACCTGGGGAAGGGGTGGGGCTCACACCTGGGGAAGGGGGTGGGGCTCACACCTGGGGAGGGGGTGGGGCTCACACCTGGGGAGGGGGTGGGGCTCACACCTGGGGAGGGGGGTGGGGCTCACACCTGGTGATAGGTAGAGCTCACATGTGGGGGGTGGATTTCACACCTGGGGAGAGGCGGGGTTCACACCTGGGGAGGGAGTGGGACTCACACTTGGGGAGGGGGAGGGGTTGACACCTGGGGAGGGGCGGGGTTCACACCTAGGGAGGGGGGTGGGACTCACACCTGGGGAGGGGCACACTGGTTTGATCCCCAAAGTCTGGCTCTGGTCTGTGCCACGCCCGGCTGGTGCAAACCGTCCTCTGCTGTGAGGGGCAGAGCCCGGGCACTGACCCTGACATCCCTGAACCACGGGGTGGGGGACGTGGACACCCAGCAGCTTCCACCGTGCCCTGGCCCCTCCCCGCAGCGGGGTCGGAGCGGCAGGGAGGAGGTGGACTGACAGCCCCTCCGGGCCGAAGCCTCCACCCTGCTCACCCGTCTCTCTTCTGGGCGCAGCCCGTGAGGGGGGCCCCGAGCGGCTCTGGACAGAGGCGCTTCCCGCTGTCAGACGGGGCGGGGGTGGGAGACATGGCTGCAGGTGCATATTTCAGAGCGGGAGGACCGGGGGAGCGTGAGTGGCCTGCAGTGAGCAGCGCCTGCCACCTGCAGAGGCTGCCCAGGCAGGAGGCCTGGGGCAGGAGACCTTCCGGACTGAGGTCCTCCCAGGGGGACCCCGGGCCGACAGACACCCCCTCCCCGGGAATGCGGGAATGCGTTAGCAACGCAAATGTTCAGACTGGCCAGGGACCGCTGAGTTAGAACCCCTGGGGGTGGCGCGAGTGACTAGGCTTTCACCAGCCTTCTAGAAGGTTCCAAGGCCAAAGTTGGAGGCCTCCTTGTGCAGCCTAGGACACCGAGGCCAGGCAGGCGCGCGCCTTGCCGAGGGCACCCGCCCTCCCGCCCTGGACACTCACGTGGTAAGAGGCCCGCTCCTCGCGGTCCATGGGCCGCGTGACGTACATCCGGCCGGACATGGAGTCGATGCTGAAGACCTCCATGGGCGGCTGGTCGGCGCCCACGCCCGTGATGCTGTACCGGATGGGGATGTCGTTGTCTTTGTCGGACCGGATCTGCAGGGAGCAAAGCGGGAGGAGGTCGGTCAGCCCGCGGCAGGGAGCAGCCTGACGCCGTCCCAACCCTCGCACTCCTCACGCGGGACCCCTGCGAGGAGGACGGCCAGTGGCCGGGGCCGGCTGAGTGCCACCACGGCAGGCCTGGGCCGCAGCTCACAGGGAGGGGCAGGCGCGGGCCGGGCGGAGCGGACCCAGGCAGGGACAAAGCAGGGAGACCGGGCGCGTGCCGGAGCTCTGACCCCAGATCTGCGCCTTGAGAGCTCTCCCTGCGTGGGACCCACGAGGACCAGGAAAGCACCCCTCCCCCCCGCTGCTTGGACAGGGCCACCGGAAGACGCAATTCTGTCCCCTGCGAGGTGACTCGACGTCAGGGTCTCAAGGACGGGGGGCGTCGGGGGACTCCGCCCAGAAACGCACAGCGCCCGTGCTCAGAACCCACTTAACACGGAAAGCCGTCCTTGCGGCTTCAGGGCTAAATACGAACATCGCAGTATGTTTCACGGAGAAGCTGTTGTTTAGAAAACAACTTAATAACGGTCGTCGGGGCCCTAACTCCAAAGCAGGCTAGCGAAGACGGATCACTGGGGGAGAAATGGAAAGAGAACAGACACGCGTGATACCCTGCATTTCACACGGGGCGGGGGGAGGCCAGGCAAAGATATCGTTTTATTTTTGACCCGATGATTAGATTAAATATAAATTTTTGTGGACACAGAAGGACGCTAGTAGCACTGAAAATAAGACGAGTGTCTTCCACTTCGATGAACCCAGACACCTTGTAATGAAAGGGGGGGCTGGTGAGCCGTCGCCCCCTCCCCCGCCCTGCTTGCCCCCCCCCCCGTGGGAGGGGAGGGGGCCGCGGGGTCTGGGGTCTCAACGCATCAGGCGAGGCGGAATTGACGGGCTGCATCCGACTCTGAGACGCCTTTAGAAAATACTGCTTTTTTTTTTTTTTCTTTCTTCAAGCTCATGGTACCATGACAACATTTGATAATAAAGCGGATGACAGTGAAAACCTCAGAAACTATTCTGCGAAGCAAAATTGACCAGGACCTTTTATTGGAACAGTGCAATTAAAATTTAATGATAAGACCAAAAGAAAAAAAAAAAAAAGACCTTTTAGGAACCTAAAAGATACTGGGAAATAACCACTGGGTCAAATAAGAATCAGAATTACTTCCAGAGGCCACTTAGAAGCCTTAGTCACGTTTAATAATAAAGTAACAACGAGACCCCCACGGGCGGCACCTCGGTGTGTCCGTCACCGGAACGGAACCGCGGCGCGGGGGCCAGGCGTGGGCGACTCCACGAGGACAGGGCGGGTGGGCGGGGCTGCGACCCCCGAGGTCGTCGAGAGGGGACCGCAGAAACGTCCGAGTCCCAGAGCAGAGTCGGAAGGACTGATTCGCACACCCGAGGGGAAAATCCTCAAGAAAATAGACGCATCTTCGGTGCACTTAAGAGAAAAAAGGAAACTTTTTTTTTTTTTACACATCTAATTCCTTACGTGTTACGCTAGCACAGTTGAAGATCTTGTTGAAATCGATTATTATTCGAGAAAATACGAAATTTCAAATGTGACTCGCAGAAAAAGCAAGCCTGCAGGACGCTCCTCCGGGAAGAGCCCCGGGCAGGTGAGCTCGCCCAGGTGTTCCCTGAACCTGCCCCGAGCAGAGGACGAGGGGAGCAGCCGCCCGCGGTTCTGGGCAGCAGGTGCACATGGGACGGGGCGGGGGGAGGTCGCCGCGCACCGCCCCCATGACACGGGTGTGACGGCCCAGCCGGGACCCAGCAGGCAGGACATGGCAGGTGAGTTCACAGGCTGCGTCATCGCGCCGAGCAGAATCCACGTCAGAAACGTGAGGGCGGCCGCATGCCAGCGACTTGCGTCTGTGGCTCAGTGACGACCGTGGCCGCTGTGCGGAGGCCCCAACGGCGTTTGTAGGGCGCCCCTGCCAGTCTCCCGTCCCGGGGAAGCGAGCCGCCCCCGGGACACGCCGACTCCCGGAGGACTCAGCCGACAGAGGACGCCCTTCCTAAACCAGCACGTGCTGGTGACGCTGGAGGGACCTACTAAGCGCACCGTGTGGGGCCGGCATGGCCGCCCCCGGGACACGCCGACTGCCGGAGGACTCAGCCGACAGAGGACGCCCTTCCTAAACCAGCAGGCGCTGGTGACGCTGGAGGGACCTACTAAGCGCACCGTGTGGGGCCGGCACGGTGGCCACCAGGACTGTGACGTTGCTGTGGGAGACAGTTGTCACCTCGCCGTGAGGGTGGCGGTGCTGTCGTAATGCAGACGCCACGCAGGTGAGTGTGACTCGGGTGGAGGCAGGCAGGTCGTGGTGCCGGCACACGCACTCGTGGGCAACACGCGTGTGCACACGCACGCACGCTCACATGCCCGAGAGGAGCGTCGTTGTCCTGGCCCAGGCTCCGCCTTCCCCTCCCACGCTCAGGTCCGAGTCTGTCCCCGGCCCTGCCCGAGTGGCACGCGGCACGCAGGCTGCACAGAGAGTGCCGGGGGTGGCGGGCGAGGCGGGGGACACGGCCCAGCTTTGCTTCGTTTATGTCAGGTGGAGCCACCGGGTCCCCATGGCGACGCCAGTCTGGGCTCGGGGCTGCCGGGATTCCGCGTGGCTGTCACGGAAGCTCCAACCGAGTCTTCATCAGCACTGCCGTCCTCCCGCACCAGGCGTGGCGGGGCAAGACGCTGTTCCTGGAGGTCTCCACGGCGAGACCCTCCTCGGGGAGACCCTCCACGATGAGACCCTCCACGGGGAGACCCTCCACGGGGAGACCCTCCACGGGGAGACCCTCCACGGGGAGACCCTCCACGGCGAGACCCTCCACGGGGAGACCCTCCACGGGGAGACCCACCTCGGGGAGACCCACCTCGGGGAGACCCTCCACGGGGAGACCCACCTCGGGGAGACCCTCCACGGGGAGACCCTCCACGATGAGACCCTCCACGGGGAGACCCTCCACGCGGAGACCCTCCACTGGGAGACCCTCCACGATGAGACCCTCCACGGGGAGACCCTCCACGGGGAGACCCTCCACTGGGAGACCCTCCACGATGAGACCCTCCACGGGGAGACCCTCCACGGGGAGACCCTCCACGATGAGACCCTCCACGGGGAGACCCACCTCGGGGAGACCCTCCACGGGGAGACCCTCCACGGTGAGACCCTCCACGGGGAGACCCTCCATGATGAGACCCTCCACGGGGAGACCCTATGCTCTTCCCACCGAGAGTTTTCACCAAGATCTGGCCATGGGGCCTGTGGGGCGGTGTCTAGACGAGAGGGGAGGAGCCGCCCTTCCTGTCACCTCTGCTGGCTTGTCCCTTGGTGCTGGGCGAAGGGCTGAGGTCACCACCCACCCGGGAGAGCCAGCAAGGGGGACCCGTGAGATGAGCCGGCAGCCCGGCAGTGCCGAGCACAAAGGCTCAGTGGGCAGCAGGTTTGCAAGCTTTGACCCTGGGCTAAGAGGGGGCCCGGCGAGCGCCCTGGGCCGGGGGGACGTCCCAGCTGGTGCTGTCTGCTGGGGACAGGAGGCGAGCGCTGGCCGCGGGCTCCCGGCCCCCGAGGACGGAGGGCGCTGATTCACTGTGTTCTGTGGGCGTGCTCCCATCTTTCATAGGGAAATTTAATTATGAAACTGCTGAAAAAAACCAGCACATATTTAAAGAGTGTTTTTTTTTTTTTGCAAAGATATCTCATTACATTTGACCATCGGCCACGTTTGCTGCTGTCCCCAGAGGCTTGCGGCAGCCGTGGCTGATTCCTGCGTGCGGGCGTGAGCGGGCATGGGCGCCGCGCGTGGTGCCTTTCCGGGGCTTTGGCGTGGGCCCTCCGAATGCCCCGCATTCCCCTGCCGTTGACCATGTTAAGAAGAAACACTGCAAAAGGATTCACCAGGTCAGGGGAGAGCAGTTTCCCCTTGATTTGTGTCTGGCAAACGGGGAAAACGCCGCCGCCGCGGGCGGCAGGGCCGTGAATAAAAATCACAGACAGGCGTCTGCGGCGCCTCCCCCCTTTACGGCGCCGTGGAGAGTTTCGCTCTTTTGCATTTGTTATCAAAGGACGGAACAGATGGTAAAAGGTTAGTTTAAAGTGACGTCTGCATTAAAATAACTTACGGCGCCCGGCGGCAGCGCCCGGGGACCGCGGCTCGGCAGGCCGCGCTTGTCCTGGGGAAGGGCCGGACGAGGGGAGGTTCTGCCAGGCTCTCCCCCTCGGAGGAGCAGCTGCCCAGCTTCTCATGGACTTGAGAGCAGGAAGAGTCACCAGGTGTGGTTCGACTCGCAAACACCCTGGAGGTCTGGTCCCCACCAGCGCGGGGACAAGCCAGGAGCGGCATCGGGTTCCAGAGGCGCAAACGTCTCCCCAGGGTGGGGAGAGGCCTGCCCATCCAACAGACCCCTGTGTGGGGGTGCAGGGCCCCCCATCCAACAGACCCCCGCGTGGGGTGCAGGGCCCCCCAGCCAACAGACCCCCGCATGGGGTGCAGAGCCCCCAGCCAACAGACCCCCGAGTGGGGGTGCAGGGCCCCCCAGCCAACAGACCCCCGCGTGGGGTGCAGAGCCCCCCATCCAACAGACCCCCGTGTGGGGTGCAGGGCCCCCCAGCCAACAGACCCCTGCGTGGGGTGCAGAGCCCCCCAGCCAACAGACCCCCACGTGGGGTGCAGGGCCCCCCAGCCAACAGACCCCCGTGTGGGGTGCAGGGCCCCCCAGCCAACAGACCCCTGCATGGGGGTGCAGGCCCCCCATCCAACAGACCCCCGTGTGGGGTGCAGGGCCCCCCAGCCAACAGACCCCCGCGTGGGGTGCAGAGCCCCCCAGCCAACAGACCCCCGCATGGGGTGCAGGGCCCCCCAGCCAACAGACCCCCGCGTGGGGTGCAGGGCCCCCAGCCAACAGACCCCCGCGTGGGGTGCAGGGCCCCCAGCCAACAGACCCCCGCGTGGGGTGCAGGGCCCCCCAGCTGCAGCCATCCCTGTCACGTCCGCAGGGGGCAGCAGCGCCTCACCCAGTCCAGGAAAAGCGCCCGGTGCCTGCCCTGACAGACAGACAGACAGGGACACAGCCTGCCCTTGCGTGGCATGCCTGCCACCCAATGAGAGCTCTCTCCACCAGTCACACCCTCTTCCTCTTTGACTGCACATTTAAAAATCCTTTGATTATTCCCTTTAAACAAATGGCCCCAGGAATGGGGGCCAGGGGAAGGGGGAGGAGGGAAGCGAGGCCCCAGCCCTACAACCCCACCGCACGCACCTTCCCCCTATGTATTCACAATCTATGTATGTTTGCACACACAAAGATGCACACACATGCACTGCACACACAAACATGCACACACATGCATTGCACACACAAACATGCACATACATGCACTGCACACACAAACGTGTATATATACATACACTGCAAACACAAACATGCAGACCTACACACATGCACTGCACACACAAACATGCACACATATGTATTGCACACACAAACATGCACATACATGCAGTGCACACACAAACGTGTATACATACACACATTGCAAACACAAACACGCAGACATACACACATGCATTGCACACACAAACATGCACACGCAAACGTGTATACATACACACATGCATTGCAAACACAAACATGCACACACACATGCACATCACACACAAACATGCACACATGCATTGCACACACAAATGTGTATACATACACACATTGCAAACACAAACATGCAGACATACACATACATGCATTGTACACAGACATGCACACACAAACATGCATACACACATTGCAAACATTGCATAAACACAAACATGCGCTACACATACATGGCATGACACACAGACATGCACACACATGCCTGCGCACCGAAATTGGTACACATACACACTTCGCACCCCCAAACATGCCTACACACATGCATTGTACACACCAACATGCACACCATGCGATGCACACAGGAATGTGTTACACACGACCTGTATAAACCACAACATGCCCATACACACATGCATCTGCGCACAAACCATGCATATATAGACACACTTTCACAAATTCGCCCCACATGCATTGGCACGCCAAATCGTGTCATACCCACTACCATTCGTACACACTGGCCACATACACACTGCATCGCAACCATGTGTCCATATATACACCATTGCACCCAACTGCACACCATGTGGTGCACAAACTCGCCAATTACACACATTTGTCAAACCTGGCGACACACACCCCAACCCACCCACACAGCAAAGCCACCTCCCAAACCCGTTCTCCTTCTCTGCACACTGCCCTCTTGTAAACGCGCGGCGGTGCGCGTAACGGTTCTGCCCGCATCTTAACAGTCGCTGGCTCCCTGCCTAAGCCCTTTAACAGCGTGCTTGTTGCGATCTAAGGATCCCCGGTCTTGCGCAGGCGCAGCTCCTTGACGCTGAACGTGCTTCACGCGCTCTCTCTCTCCTGGCCGCATCAACCCCCTACGACGAGTTTTTCCAAGCAGCGATTGCCAAACTCTCTTTCCACCCTGGTTGGGGGTCGTCGTTGCCGCCGGCGGTCCCCACCTCTCGCCAGCAGAAAGCTCTGGAATCCTGACAGCAAGCCGCAGTGCGCCGCCCCACCGTCCCCCACGGCGTCCAGGACGCAGCCGAGTGGATTTACCCGTGGCCCCGCGCGCGCAGCTGCCGGAGCGCAACTTTCCTTTTAAAGCCTCGATTCGCACCGGCCGCTGGCGGTAAGACGCGAGCCGCCCCGATGCGTCGCGGCCCCTCTGTCGCTCCCAAACTCCTGGCTTCCGCGCAGACGCGACCAAACCCGCGCCCGATTCCCTCTTCTGGCTTTCCTGAGTCCTGTGCTCTCGCCGCTGCAGCACCCCTCCCCA